CGCGCATTGAGGTAAGAACAGGCGCCAGGAGATCTGGGGAGATACCATGGCCCCCGCCATGAGATCCCCCCCCCCCTTGTCATTGCCCCCCTCTTGGCCGCCCCCGACTGCCACTTCCCCCGCTCCGGCTCCAGGAAGAGCGAAGGGGAGGAGGACGATGAAGAGGAGGAGGAGGGGAGGAAAAAGACGACGAGGAGGAGGAGGAGGAGGAGGAAGAGGAGGACGAGAAGGAGGGGGAGGAGGAGGAGGAGGAGGAGGAGGAGGAGGAGGAGGAGGAGGAGGAGAAGGAGGAGGAGGACAACCGGGCACGTGGGTCCCCAACAAGGATGTACCCCTTTTTTTACTCTCAGCACGGCAGCACCTTATAGTGGGGGAGGTAGGTCTTTCCATGGTGGAGGCTTGGGTCCCCGCAAGGGCAGGTTTCTACAGAAGTGCATGCAAGATGGCGTTCATTTTGTCCCACACCGTACACGTGAGACACTTGCCCACGGGTGCGGCTGTGGTGCACAATCTGCACTCCGTCCTTGCAGCAGTACTACCTGTTAGCCGCACTGTGTTCTTTTTTTGACCAATACTTCGCTTACTTCTCAGATCGGCCTTTCTATCATTTTGCCCGACGCCTATGCCTTAGTGTTCTGCTGCCAACACTCTCAGCACATACCGACATTTAGTACTGGTATTTAAACAGTACTGCCTCTAGGCCAGCCTACTTAGACACGGTCCAGCCTAAGACCAGCCCAGCACGCACTTGATACCAATGGGCCCGTGCTAAACCCAAGAATAATTACAAACATCACGAGGTCCCTGGGACCGATGTGGTTTAGGGTAAGCCCAAAAACCATGGGCAGCAACCCAAGAGCTGCTACAGTCAGTCAAGTATCAGACATGTTTTGTCTGCTGACCCTCAGCAGCCACAGTTATCACTTCTCGGCTGATTGTTGTTTTCACATGTGCAGCATGTTGTGCCACCAGATGCCACATACACTGAAATATAGGAGGGTCCCACTGGGGTGTATTAGCAGAGGAGGGGAGGAGGACAACACTCACGCTGCAGCTGTGCATGCTACGCAATAGTCCAGGGCAGCATCCCAGGAACTGCTCACGCACGCTTCTTAGCTACATTGGAGCACTCCTGGCAATCATTGTGGGGTACTCGCTGCAATTCGCTACTTCGGTGGTTGCGTGGAACCAGCCATCAGACGCCACCTTTTTATACACGCAGCTCTTCCATGTTGTTCCCCACACACAACCTTGCCATCTCTAGCAACAAGCACATGCTGGGAACATCTCAGCCTGTGCTTTCTCTTGCTCACAGCTGCAGCCTGCCAAGATGGCACTTACTCTGAACAGGGATGGGGTTTGTGGGGCCTGGAGTGTGGCGGGTTATAGGGGGATGGGGAGTTGAGTTACGGTTCGGAGTGCACCAAAACCCTGGGCAACAGCCCTAAAATTGCTAAGTGCCGCTCTATTCACGCTTGGCGTCATTGCACTTCTCTTAACGTCACATACAGTGACGGCACGACCTATGAAACTTTCGTCTTATAGATGTTACCTCGTTTGCTTGCTAAGGTCTCTGTCGTCCTGCCGTATCTGGCCAGCCGCGACGACACTCACCATCGATCTTAAGAATGTTACCCTTACTTTTGTACTTTATGTTGCTGTTGTTGTTGCATCCCACTAAGGTGAATGCCGCCACACCTGGCGGGCGCCTACTCTCACCAATCAGATTATCCTGCGCTCATTCTCTTCCATGTTCCGCGGCGCCCGCCGTGTGCTTGTGACCCGAGTCGTTTCTCCAACTACAGCATAAACGCGACAGGCTCGTTCCTTACGTTGGTCTATCGTCAAAAGGAGGAGGAAGAGGAGGAGAACGACGACGATGAGGACGAGGAGGAAAGAGAAGGAGGAGGAAGACCAGTGTCAACCCAAGAGCCATCAACGATGTTGGAATAAACCCTCCCTCTATGCTCCATCTTCATAGGTCTCTACAGCGGTTAATTTCCATTGGAGGAACTGCGTCTTTGGAAGACAACCGTTTAAAGACCCTGAAGCATGCCAAAACATGGTTCTCGGGATTTCAACGCCACGGATCAACCCGAGCGTTGCGCCTTGACAATCCTGAACCGTGCCAGAGCACCATTCCTGGGAATTCAAGACAGCGAACCGATATAACTGTTGCACCCGCATCATCCTGAATCCTTTCGAAACACCATTTCTGGCACGTTGATGATGGGAAACCGTGAAGCCCTTGCAAATTGTTAAAACGCGTGTGCGCCGCGCTAAAGCGAGAACCACATTTTGAAAAGGAGCCGCCCTCAATCCGTGAAGCTCTTGCAAATGTTAAAAACGAATGTGCGCCGCGCTAAAGCGAAAACGACCCGCCCTCCAATCCGTGAAACTTCTGCAATTGTTTAAAGCGAGCGTGCGTCGCGCTAAGGCGAGAACCACATTTTGAAAAGGAGCCGCTCTCAATCCGTGAAAATCCTGCAATCTTTTAAGCGACTGTGCGCCGCGCTACTGGGAGAGCCACATTTTGAAAACGACCCGCCCTCAATCCGTGAAACTCTTGCAAGTTTCTAAAACGAATGTGCGCCGCGCTCAGGCGAGAGCCACATTTTGAAAACCACCTGCCTTCAATCAATAAAACTTTTGCAAGTTTTTCAGCTTCAGCCATAAATTGCAAGGAAGTCTCAGGCGAGACGCCCGGCCCGCCCTAAAAACGGGGTGCGACAGGGAGAAATTTAAGAAAAAGGAATGGAGAAGGAGGAGGAGGAGGAGGAGGAGGAAAAAGAGAATGACGAGGAGGACGACGACAAGGCTCGGGTGCGCGAGAGAGGGGGGGATCGGCTGCCGGGGAGAGGGGGCCACAGGAGGAGGAGGGGGGTAGCGCACCATGGCGCGAGGCACGCGGGCGCACGAGGAAGGGGGGGGGGGGAGGGGGGGCGCAGGGAACGCAGAGGAAGAAGAGGGGGCCCTGAGGTCTGGGACGCTTCGTGGCCCCAGTCCTCGCCTTCCCCTGCGACGCCCTCGAGGGGAGAGGAGTAAAGGTGACCCGGGGACTCCGAGGTCCCAATCGTTGCAATGCTGGCGCCCCATGCCCTCTCCACCCCTCCGCTGGGGACCAGCCTCTCGCCCCGCAGCTCGGAGACGCCCTTCAGGGCCGAGGATGACGGAAAGACTGCGCGTCGTTTTTCTTCAAGACGCTGGGCCCGTGTCCCCCAAGAGGCCCAGAAAGGGTCAGAAGGCGGTCCTAAGCCGCCATCCTCGACCCTCAAACAACGACGACTCAGATCTCAGGCGCGTTTCGGGATCCTCCAAAGGAGGGGGGCCCCTGAGGGGGGCATGAATTCGATCCGCTGGTGCACCGCACTGCCGCAAACATAATTCCCCCCCGCGTACCCCATCTATCCGCAACTATTGGGAGCTGCCGGCGGCTGGGGGGCATCTGTTTTGGTCGGGAGCGCGCAAACATGGATTAGCGATCTATGGATTTGGCGCGCGGTCGGGGGAGGTGCCCTCTTGGTGCCGCCTCATTCGGCGGCGGAAATCCGCGATTTCCCCTGAAAACGGGACTCGTCGCTAATCCACACACCCCTCATCCATGTTTGTGATCGCCAAATTTGGGAAGTTCGGTGCCAAAACCGATCGAACTCACCCGGAGGACAAGAAGGAAGAGGAGGAGGGGGGGGGAGGGAGGAGGAGGAGGAGGAGGAGGGGAGTAGGAGGAGGAGGAGGAGGTGAGGAGAGAGGAGGAGGAGGAGGAGGAGAGAGGAGGAGGAGGAGGAGAGGACGAGGAGGAGGAGAGGAGGAGGAGGGAGGAGGAGGAGGGAGGAAGAGAGGAGGAAGGGAGGAGGAGGAGAGAAGAAGAGAAGAACGTCGTCGAGAAGGAGGAGAATGAGGAAGAGAGGAGGAGAGGGAGAGGATGGAGGACGAAGACGAGGAGGAGGAGGATGACAAGGCGGAGGAGGAGGAGGAGAGGAGGAGGAGGAGGAAGGAGGAGGGGAGAGGAGGAGGAGGAGGAGAGGAGGGAGAGGAGGAGGTGGGGGAGGAGGAGGAGGAGGAGGACGAGGACGAGGAGGAGGACGGAAGGAGAGGAGAGGGGAAAGAGAAGGACGAACGTCGCCTCAAGGGAGGAGAAGGAGTAGAGGAGGAGGAGGAGAAGGAGAAGGAGAAGAGAGAGAGGAAGGAGGAGGAGGAGGAGGAGAGGAGGAGGAGGATGAGGAGAGGAGACGAGGAAGGAGGAGGAGAGGCAGGAGGAGGGAGGAGGAGGAGGAGGAGGAGAGAGGAGGAGGAGGAGGAGGAGGCACCCCCCCCCTCTGTGGGACTTCGAGCTTCGATGGCTCCGCGGCGCGTGGGCCCCCAGACCTCTCGGCCCTCTTCCCCTCCAGGGGCCGCCTCTGCACCCCGAGGCGTTGTTCTTTTTACTGGCGGCCCCAAATCCCGGAGACTCCTCCTCCTCCTCCTCCTCCTCCGCCTCCTCCCTCGTCCTCCTCCCCTCCTCCTCCTCCTCCCTCCTCCTTCCCTCCTCCTCCTCCTCCCATCCTCCTCCCTCCCTCCCTCCCTCCTCCTCCTCCCTCCTCCCCCTCCTCCTCCTCCTCCTCCTCTTCCCCCTCCTCCTCCTCCTCCCTCCTCCTCCCCCTCCCTCCTCCCTGCCTCCTCCTCCTTCCTCCCCCTACTCCTCCCCCTCCTCCTCCTCCTCCTCCTCCTCCTCCTCCTCCTGCCCCCACTGGAGGCTCCCCCAAAAATGGCGGCAGGCCCGCCGTTTTGGTTTTTTCGAGGCGCTAGGTGTCCGCCCAGACCTCGTCGCGCTGCGAAAAAATACGCGACGGAAGGTTTGTCGTCACTTTCGGCCTCCGGCGGCCCTTCCTGGGCCTCCAACGGCCCTTCCGGCGGACCTCTGGGGGTCGACGTCGTGAAAAAACACGACGTCGGGGGTCTGGGTGGGCCCGAACCCTGAAATCCGACGTTGCGAAGAAGTTGCAACATCGCGAGAACTCGCGACAGCCCCCCGCAGCACTGTTCGAGACGGATCGAGCTGTGATAGTCCGGGGGGCCGAGAACCCCAAAATCCGATGTGTTGTTTTTGTTCAACACGCCCCCCCCCCCGAAGTCACAACATTTTCTCCAGGGCGATTTTTCTTCCCGATTAAGTTTTCGACGGTTACAAAATTGCGACGCCAGTTTCTTTCAGGACGTCGACTCCTACTCCCAAAAATCTGAACCCACTCCCGGGAACTGGTTTCTCATCCCGAGCAGTTTCTGGACGGTCCCGAAGGTTGTTGAAGGCCAGCAGAGGCAGAAAATAACGACAAACTCCCCGTCGTGATTTTTTCGTGGCCCGAGGGGGTCTGTAGAGGCCCCTTATATGGGGTTCGAGTAGATGGGGTCGGAGGGGCGCGCCAGATCGGCGATGCATCGGCAATACATCGGCGATGCACCAGCGAAGCATCGTCGACATCGTCGGTGCATCGGCGACGTCGACGTGAAGCATCGGCGATGCGGCGCGATCCTCCGACCACATCCAGGAGGCTTAGAGTTTGGTGCGGGCCCCCAAAGGCCGAGAAATACCGACAAACTCTCCGTCGTGATTTTTGGTCATGGCCCGAGGGGTCTGGGATCCCAAACATCCGCCGACATGATTTTGACAATCCGCGGCCACAGAGGCCCCGATTCCTTCCCCAGAGTATTTTTCGCCCTCGATGTGTGCGTGTATGTATGTATGTATGTATGTATGTATGTATGCATGCATGCATGCATGCATGTATGTATGTATGTATGTATGTATGTATATGCAGACATACATACATATATATATATATATATATATATATATTAGAACCGCGCGCGCGCTACGCACGCGCTTAGATTCTAGTCGCAGATGAGCCACGGATGCCGCTGTAAGCCTCGCTGTGGCCACAACGACGATTTCCAGCGTTCTCGGGCCCATGCCATCGACGCAAAGGAACGCGGGGCGTCACGTTCCCGCGTATCTCACAATCTCGCTGCTGCCTTTGTTCGGTTTATCGAACTGCGCCTTTCTCTCCACTTTCACTTCCGCTCTGCCCCGTCGTGACACTCAATTGTTTTGCACACCTGTTCGGTCTCCCCATGCCTTGTCTCGCAGACATCCGCCGGCTCCTGATGTTGGGGTCGGCTCGGGGCCTCGTTGCGCGCGCGTGGGAGCGCATTGTTTTCTTCTCTCCTCTTCCTTGTGCTCCAGGCTTCTCGCTTTTCAGCGGTCGTTCAGCTGCCGGTAGTATCTGCAGAGAGCGCGCGCAGATGTCCCAGTCATCAGTTCTCTGCAATCAATTGTTGTGGAATCCGTCCACGGGAGTGGGGGAGCTTCTTTTGTGCTGGACGCCAAACATCGTGCTGGCGATAGTCGCACCCGTGGGATCAAAAGGTTCGGGCTCACGGGGGATGCTAAAATATCTGCCTGGCAAGTCCAGTGGATGGGGCTGCCTGGAGCTCTGACGGGGCCTCTAGCGGTACTTTCTTGGCGCTCTGACGAAGCGCTTCAGGAGGTGAAAGGGGGCACAGGGCACACAACCTGAGAAACTGTATAGTATGGCCACGCCTCGGTCGCTCGGGCGGGTCCTCCCTGCAAGGGTGGGAGGAGCAAGAAGCGCGTGACACAGTATGGCGTAGGGATGCCCAGCTCTCTCTGGCGGGGGTTTTCCTGGCGCTCTGGCGGGGCGCGCCCAGGAGGGGAGGGAGGGATCACGAAACCTGAGGATAATTATGGTATAGCCACACCCCGTGCGTTCTGACGGGGCTACCTCGGGTGCGGTGGGAGGGGCAAGACAAAACAGGGACTGTAGATGGTATAGCAACACCCCTCTCGCTCTGCCGGGGCCGCCCTTGAGGGGTGGGAAGGGCAAAACAACTTGTGATATGATAGGGTGTAGCGATGCGCCGCTTGCTCTGGCAGGGCCTGTCTGGCGTTCTGGCGGGGCCGTCCCATGAGAGGAGGGAGGAACACGGAAGCTAAGGGGTGAGGTGAGGAAGAGGAGAGAGAGGAGGGAATGGAGGCAAGGGGAGGGGGCGGGAGGGAATGAGGGACGGAGGGGGAAGCCCGGGCCATCTGGGCCGTCTTGGAGCGCCTTGGAGCCTCCCGCTCCCGCTCTGTGGCCCAGCTTGGGCCTGTCCTGGGGCTTTCTTGGGCCGTTAGGGGCTGCTCCTGGGCAATTTTCGGGCTCCCTGAGGCCGTCTTGGAGCTCTTTTGGGTGCCCCTTCGGCGGTCTTGGGGGCGTCTTCGAACATTCGAACGCCAGGAAGCGAAAAACATCTAACAAACCAAAGCAAATCAATGATTTGGGCCTCTTTGGGCTCTATCGGGACGTCTCTCGGAGCTCTCTTGGGCCCTCTTGGAGGCCTCTTGGGCTGTGCGTTTGCCGTCTTGAGCTCCTCTGGGGCCACGTTGGAATCATCGGGACCGTGCTGGAACTCTTTGGGGCCTCCCACTCCCGCTTTGGGGCCCATCTTGTGCCTCTCCTGGGATTCTCTCGGGCAGTCTTGGGCTGCTCTTGGGCAGTCTTTAGGCTCTCTGGGGCCGTGTTGGGGCTTTTTGGAGCCTCTTCGGCGGTCTTGGGGCGATCTTCGGGGCCTCTTCGGCCGTCTTGGAGCGTTGGAAGGTCGAAAACGTGAGGAAGCGAAAACGTGTTTGAAAAACTACCGGAAATCAAGGACGTGGATCTCTTCGGGCTTTCTCGGGACGCCTCTCGGAGCTCTCTTGGGGCCTCTTGGAGGCCCCTTGGGCCGCGTATTGGCCGTCTTGGGCCCATCTGGGGCCACGTTGGGGCCATCTGGGCCGTCTTGGAGCGCCTTGGGGCCTTCCGCTCCCGCTCTGTGGCCCGGCTTGGGCCTGTCCTGGGGCTCTCCTGGGCCGTCTGAAGCTCCTCCTGGGCAATTCTCGGGCTCCCTGGGGCCGTCTCGGGGCTCTGTTGGGGGCCTCTTCGGCGGTTTGGGGGCGGTCTTGGGGGCGTCGTCGGCCGTCTTGGAGCGTCGGAAGGTCGAAAACGCGAGAAATCGAAAAACATAAAAAACAATGGAAATCAATGACTTGGGCCTCTTCGAGCTCTCTCGGGACGCCTCTCGGAGCTCTCTTGAGGCCTCTTGGAGGCCTCTTGGGCTGTGTATTTGTGGTCTGGAGGCCTTCTTGGGCCACGTTGGGGCTATCTGGGCTGTCTTGGAGAGGCTTGTCGAAGTTACCCGGGGGCTTCTGGGAGCGTCTTGGAGCTCTCTGGGGCAGTCTCGGGGCTCCACGGCACGGCCCCTCCGAGGTGCTCTGGGAGCGGTCTCGGAAGCCCCGGTCCTCCCATGCGCGCTCGAGGCCCTGTCCCTGGGCGCCCGGGCCTCGTGCGCAGGGATATATATATATATGTATATATATATATACACATATATATACATATATATACCTCCGACGACTACCCTTCGGGTGATAAGGAGGTTGTGGGGGGGGGAGGGGGGGAACCAACATCTGACTCAATCGATCTCACTATCGATCTCACTCAACGGGACACCACGGGACACCACGGGACACCATGGGACACCACGGGACACTTGTCGCTCTCACTATCGATCTCACTATCGGTCTCACTCAACGGGACACCACGGGACACCACGGGCCACCACGGGACACCACGGGACACCGCGGGACACTTCTCGATCTCACTATCGGTCTCACTATCGATCTGACTATCGATCTCACTCAGCGGGACACCATAGGACACCACGGGCCACCTCGGGACACCACATCGATCTCACTATCGATATCACGATCGTTCTCACGATCGATCTCACTCAACGTGACACCACGGGACACCTCGGGACACTTGTCGATCTCACTATCGATCTCACTGTCGATCTCACTCAACGGGACACCACGGGACACCTCGGGGCACCACATCGATCTCAGTATCGATCTCACGATCTATCTCTCACGATTTGCACATGGATTTGCTAAGGATTTGCATGTCAATACCCACGGCGCCTTACGATTTGCACATGGATTTGCTATGGATTTGCATGTCGTCGATTTGCATTGGGGCACCAGCGGGACACCGGCGGGACACCAGCGGGACACCAGCGGGACACCGCGGGCCGCCGGTTGCCAGGGGGGAATCATTTGGTCTGGCCGCGGCCCAGCCACAGGAGAATTTCCTCTCGCCCGCCCACGCAGCTTCGCCTCGCCCGCACGCGCACACGCACGGCACGCACGACACGAACCCAGAACCGAAATCGATTTCCCGGTAGGAGGGGTCTTCGTTTCACGTCGGACTCACCCCCCAACCCCCCAACCTCCGATATATATATATATATATATATATATGTTGATGGTTCCCGGGACCGATGATGGGCCCCGGAGACCGACATCCAGGAAAAACCGCCAGACTGCAACAAAAACATCTCGGATCTCTGGGTCCTCGCACCGACGACCACGGCGACCCCGCGGCGCCCCTGCCGCGGCCCTTCGCCGCGCGCGGGCGGCTGGCCGCCGCCCCGGCGGCCGCGGGCTGCGCGCCCCGGGCGTCCGCCGCCTCGGGCGCGCCCGCCTCCGCCCGCACGAGGGCCCCGGCGATCTCCAGCACGGCCGAGCCTGGGGATCTCGTCGGGGGGCCTTGTCTGTCCCGTCGCGGCCGCATCCGTGTCGAATCCGTGTCGAATCCGTGTCGGCCTCGTCGGATCTGTGTCGAATCCGTGTCGAATCCGCGCCGACTCCACGCCAAATCCGCGTCGAGTCCGCATCGAGCCCGCGTCGGGCATAAGAAAAGAAACCAACTTTGGGACGGGCGAGGTCGATGCAACATAAGAGACCCCCTCGAGGCAGGTCAAAATCACGACAGGAGGCTTCTCGCTCACTTTGGGCCTCTCTGGGGGCCCTCCCTGGGCCTCGGGGCCGTCAGTTAAGCGGCTCGGGATGAGAGACCGGTCCCGGGAATGGGTCAAGGCCTCGGGGGACACATCACGAGGTCGGGAGTCTGGGGAGGGAGGGGGGCCAAAAGGACCCCCCCAGGCATCTGGGCGACGAAAAAAAGGGCCTTACGCGATCTGACGTAGCGACCTTCCGCCGAGGTCTACGAGGCCGCCAGCGCGGCACGCCAAATTAGAGAAGAGGGCCTCACGCGCGAACTTGCGCGGGCAGCTTACGCGCCAATGTCGGTGAAGACGACCCCGTTTTTTCTCTGCGACGCTCAAGTGAGAAGGGCCCGGCCTGCTCAGAAGGCTCGGGAGCCCTCCAGTCTTCCGACAGCCTTCTGCGCCTTCCCCGAAGGCACCCCGCTCGCCGCTGATCCATCGAGGCCAAAGTTCGCACTGGGATGAAAAACTGCCCCCGGGGCAGGGGCCATCTGTAGACGAGTGCGTTCCACTACTCGCAAAGTGACTGCCTCGCAGATGGCCTGGATCCACCGCGGGGGATCTACTACACATTACATCAAAGCAGACATGTGTTTTTCGGGCGTTTGCGAGTAGGCACTTTGCGAGTAGTGGAACGCGCTCGGTGAACCTGGAAGAGATCAATCCGTCGGGGGTCTGGGCAAGAGGGGGTTGACCGTAGGACTGGACCGGGCTGGAGGAGGAGGAGGAGGAGGAGGAGGAGGAGGAGGAGGAGGAGGAGGAGGAGGAGGAGGAGGGGAGGGGCGAGGAGGGGGAGGAGGGGGAGGGGAGGAGGAGGGGCGAGCGAGGAGGAGGAGGAGGAGGAGGAGGAGGAGGAGGAGCCCAGCGTAGAGAAGACGTCTTGTCTGGCAGAATCTACTTGGATCCGCCGCTCTCGCCAAGAGCACGAACCGAAACCGCGGGAGGCGCAAGCCACACGAATAGCAAGAATACCTGGGAGGCAGCCCAGGGAGGAGAGGCCAAGGACGTCCCAGGGCAGGACAATGAACTGCGCCGAGACACGGAGGAACGGCGGCAGCGCAGAGACGTCGATCACATCGTCCAGTTCGTCACCTCATTCAGCATGCAGATGCACGTCAAGCGGGAATGACGGTGTGCTTTCCGCCCTCCACAAACATCGCACATCTCCTCATCATCAGAAACCGATCCCACCGAGGACGACGGATGGGCGGAAGCAGGACGAAGACGACTCGGAAGGATATCAGAGTTAACGGGGTCGTCACGTGCAGGGGACCGCAGCAGCTCAGCACGCACAGCCGTAGCTATGACGTCGCTCTCCACGAACTGCTGGAACGCACGACTAACAGCGTCTGCAATAACTTTCGGATTCCCAGAGACCAGCATCCCAAGCATCTCAGTCAACTGTTGGAGAGCACTGTCATGGGTCGCGGCCTGTTCTTGCAGCGCAGATGTGTCACAGACCGCACGCCGATACTTTTGCACCAGCGCCGCAGAATCCCTCAACACGGCCACGTCGGCCGACAAATTGTGGAACAGAGTGTGGGCCTCAAGCACCACTTGCTCGCGGACGTCAGACATAAACTCATTCACCTTTGACACATGCGAATCGACCAGCTTTTGACAATCATCCCATAAACCCGAAAGCGGCCTTTCGACAAGCCGCCGAACATAGTCAGGCGAAAGGCCGTCCTGTTGAACCTCAGAGATCCGTTGTTTCAGCGAGAGTATATCCTGACGCACAGAATTGTGTAAGCGCTCCTGGCCCAGAGTCAGAGCGGATTGCAATTCATCGCGAAGCTTACCACACTGAGCGCGCAGGAGGCCTCGCATAGAGTCCATTTTCGCATTCACAATGCGTGCGTGTGGGATCGTCGACACCAGGTGAGCAGCGAACTCAGAGTGCGCCTGCTTCAGGGAAGAGACCGTGAGAACAATATCTTGATGGTGGTCAATGAAGGCTTGCTCTAACTGCTCGTGTCGCTCACTGAGAAGAGTCATATCAGACACCAAAGAAGATAAGTTGGCGGCAACCGATGCACCAGGGAGCGAAGAGAGGATAGCCCATTCCATTTCCACCAGAGCAGAAATCGATGCGAACTGCTTCTCGTTCTTTTGCTCGATCACGCTGACGAGATCAGAACAAGAGGCAATTTGGGCAGCAGCAGAAGACGCCATCACGTGAGCCTGGCGAGCCATGTCCTGCAGTTCTTGCAGAGCCCCCCACAAGGCAGAATAAGAAATCATATCCATCCCAGTGCTGGGCACGTATGGCGGAAGAGCGAAAGACGAGTCATAATGGAAATCGCAGAAGTCAAACTCAGAGTCGCTGAAAGCAAGCCCTGCCGTCTCCAAGCCGCTCCCTGACCTCGTATGCCCCAAGGGCTCCGAGCGGTATGCGGCGACGGCGCGCTCACCAGAGAGCAGGTAAGCCGGAGGCGAAAACGCCGGGGCATCCGAGCGCAGCACGAAGTTGGTGGAATGGTGGCGGTGGCAGCGAGGCTGTTGCCAGCGGCGCGCACGAACAGCAAGATGTGAAGAACACGCACCAGCTACCTCCATGTGTTCGGGCGAATGGTCCAGGTAGACAACGTGTCGCTCCTGCCCAGCACGCCGAAAAAGCTTGCGACTATGACGATAAACGCGGTCGCCCACCAGCGGACGAGCCAGAGTCGCAGCATGGCTGGGATGATGGACGTTCTATTGTAGAACTTCGCACAGATAGGAGTGGCGCCGAAGTGCCGAACTTTGCAGAGAAGGGTCCAGTTGTACGTATGTTTCCTTTTCCAATAGGCGGACTCTCGCCGCCAAGCAATTGTATTTAGAACGCATAACACTATGACAAGATAGCGCCACTGCCAGTCACGTAGCCCACCAGCAGAGGAATGAAACAGGCGCCAGACAAGAAATACCAGAGAGACCTCAAGCCGCCATGAGCACAGCACATTGGAGCCAAGATGTTGGGGCAAACAAGGGGAGCGGCTTGAGCCAAAATGGCTACGGAGGAGGAGGAGGAGGAGGAGGAGGAGGAGGAGGAGGAGGAGGAGGAGAGAGGAGGAGGAGGAGGCGAGCGAAGGGCCGGGCGGGACATCGGCTGCGCTCCGCTGGCTCTCCCGGCGCCTCCTGGCGCCCCGCAGCGGCCACGCACCGAGGCAGGCGCCCAGCGGCGGGGCCGAAACCAGCTGCACGCAGCAGATGTCGTCCTCCTCCTCCTGCTCCTGCTCCTGCTCTGCTCCTGCTCCTGCCTGCTCCTCCTCCTGCTCCTCCTCTCCTCTCCTCCTCCTCCTCCTCCTCCTCCTCCTCCTCCTCCTCCTCCTCCAGACCATTCGTCCTGCCCGAGACGGGGGTAGCTCGGGGCGGGGCCAGGCCTGGCGGGTACGCAGGCGCCGTTCCCCAGGCCCCAGGCCGCCCGTCCTCGCACCTCCCGCTGCGCGAAAAGCGCGGCCGTCGTTCGCGCCCGCGCGCCGCACCCCCCTGGGGACCCGGGCAGCTCTCCAGGCCAGGCCGCGCAGCGCGGAAGAGGACCGTCCTCTGGGGGCCCTGCGGGTGGCTCGGAGCCCCCCTGCCTGCGGGGTGGCCCCCCCTTGCGCGGCGGGGGGTCATCCACATCCACCGCCTGGGAACCGACGTCCTGGTGCCTCAGCGGGCGGTGGGTATGATACATTTTGGCCCCTGGGGCCCAAATACATCCATATCCACCGCCTGCCGAGGTTCCCGAAAATTGGTCCTCCAGGCGGTGGTCATGTATAAATCCAGCCTCGGACCCCTGGCCCCGCAGGCAAACCCAGTCTGGGCTGCCCACCGATTCTTCAGCTAGCCAGGAGCCGACTTGCCCCTCCGCGGTGAGCTCCGCCCAGCGGGAGGAGTCGCTGCAAAAGACCCGGAAGAGCAGCCTCAGCATGGCCCTCAAGGCCTGCAGCCTCGACGCGGTCTCGCAGCGGACCCGGAAGCCGAGCCAATCGCCGAGCTCGCGGATCCTGATCACGACGTCGCCGTCGCTGGGCGCCTCGACTGGCTCGCCGTCCGCGCCTTCCTCGCGGCCACCGCCTTGGCGGCAATCTCGGGAAGGGAGGAGGGGCGCGGAGGTGGGATCCGGAGAGGAGGGGCAGCGGTTGAAGCAGCCCCCTGGCCTCGGCTGGGCTCCGAAGGCGAGGGCTCTCCCGAGGTGGCGACAGCCCACCAACTTGAGAAAGCCGCATCGGACACCGCCGTCGCCTCTCCAGTCTCCTCGATCTGGTCCGCGCCAGAGCAGCCCTCGACCTCGCTGACCCGCCGGCCCCTCTGAGGCCATGAAGATGCAGCGCCCCGCCAGGGGCCAGGCAGGTACAGTCCTGGTGAGGTCCTGGTGCAGTCCTGGTGGTGCACTGGTATGTCCTTGGTCAGGCTGTGGAATGGTCCTCGCAGGACTCTGGCTGGTGGGTAGAATGCTTCATAGATCTACGGAACAGTCAGCGTATTTTCGTAGATTCCACGAGCACATGAATTTTGTGGTAAAGCAATTCTGTAGTCGAGCCCCTACTCGAATGGTCGAGCCTTGTTCAATCGAGTAGAGTCCAGGGCCCTGGCAGGGCTATAGTTCTGGTGAGTTCCTGGCAAGGTCCTGATGAGATCCTGGGGAGATCCTGGCTGGGTCCTGGTAGTGTCCTGGTGGATCTTGTCCGAGTCCATGGTCCTGGCAGCGTCCTGCAATGATGAATCATGGAAGGGTCCTTGTATTTCTGATAGGGGCCTGATGGGGAAATGTGGCTTGTAATCCGTCCCAGTCGCTGATCCGACTTGGGGAATGTGACCAGCGCTGAGACGAGAGCACGACTCCGACTGGAAAGGTGTAATTTCCGCATTCCGAGGGCTTGACGGGAGCGCGCCCGCGGCATACTGGAGGAGACTCCAACATTGGCTGCGACCAAGAAGCGAATCCTCGCAGTGGCTAAATCGGGTCACTTATGCCGTCGCTCCTGTTCGCTGTCCGGCCTCACACCCCCCAAGAAAACTTCGGGAGCGGCCAAGAGGGGGGTGTCCAAGAGGGGGGTGTGCAAATCATGACCGGCGGCATGTGCGCGGCCCAGCGTGGGGGCCAGGGACGTAATGAAACAAGAAGAGGCGCCATGAAATCTGCGGAGATATCATGGCCCGCGCCATGATATCCCCCCCCCCAGTCATCACCCCCCTCTTTTCCGCCCCCGAAAACCGGGACTGGAGTCCAAGACGTGGACCGAGCCGGGAACTTCTTCGTCGCAGCGGCGGGGATCCACGCCGCTCTCGGAGGCAGCCGAGGGATGCCGCGCGGCGGCAGGCGAAGGGGAGACGGAGCGCGCGGCAAGGGGAGAGGAGCGCGCTCGGAGCGTGACAGTTTTGGTCCTCCGGGGATCGTTGAGTATCGTTCACCCGATCCCCCCAGATGGGGATACAGGTCGTTCCCTTCGGTTGTCGAGGGGTACATCCCCAACTGGGGTGGTAGCTTGGCGGGGGCCTCGAGGGGGATGGGGCTGGGGCTGGGCATCGGATGAACGATACCGAACCGTGGGCGATCTCCGCCGGCGGGGTGCCCATTGGGGCGGGGGCCTCCGGCCTCGGATGCCCGCGCCCTCGAGGCTGCCGCTGCGCCGGAGCGGCGCCGCCTCTGCTTCGCTTCCCGCGCCTGCGGTGCACATCTGCTCTGCCGTGGGCGGCTTCCGCCCTCTCTCTTTCCAGGGGCTCCCAACTTCGCGCTCTCGCGCTGCGCGAAGCGTGAATAGCTTCGCGCTCTCGCGCCGCCTCCCAAGGGAGAAGAGGAGGATGGGGAGGAATCGGAGCCGAAGCGCGAAGCGCGAAGCGCGAATAACTTCGCGCCCTCGAGGGCACCCTTGCTTTCTCTTTTTTGTTTTTTGTTGTTTTTGTTATCTCTCTCTTTCCCTCTCTCTCCGTGAACATCCCTCTGTTCCGGCTCGTGCCCCCCCTGCTCCCGCTGTCGCTGCCGCTCCTCCTTCTGCTCCTTCCCTCGCCTTCCGCGGGTATTCGGATAGGCTCGCGGGTTCGGGCGCTGCTAGGAAACTAGCCCTACCATCGAGCCCTGCTGAAAGAAACTCCCAGAGATAACGCGAGGGGAAGCATCATGATGGTGAAAACAATAGCACCCACGAGACCCCACTTTCCGAAAGCCTTCGCGGAAACAAAACTGCATTCGCGTTTGTGATTTCCCGAATCAGCCGCGAAAACATACTATCGGACGTGTTTTCTTCGCCTGATGGGGATCCGGAGTCTACTTTCGTAGTCGACGGGCCGCTTGAGTGTTCTTTCGTGGCTCATGGGGCCCTTACGATTATGGTCGGTTGTGTTCTCTGAAGGCCCTGAGTGTACTTTGCATTCCCTGAGGGCTGCAAATGCACTTCTGACCCTAGGTGTGCGTTGGTGTTCCCTGATGGTCGCGAGTGTGCTCTTGTGGCCTCTGGTAACCCTGAGTGTACGTTTGTGGCCCCGGGGAGGGGGGAGGGGCAAACGTACTTTTGAAGCCCGCGAGATCCCTGCATGCATCTGTGTGTGGCTTCTGCCTGCTCCAGGTGTTCTTTTGCTGCCTCGACGGCCCCCCCGGGCGTGTGTGTGTGTGTGTGTGTGTGTGTGTGTGTGTGTGTGTGCGCGTGCGAGCAGTGTCTGCGTGAGGGCCTGGCGCGCTTCTTATTGCCACGCCTGCCTGACTCCGCCGTGTCGCTGCGCCGCGCGCGGCTGCGACGCTCAAGAATGTGTGCGCGCGTGCGTCTGTTTGTTCCACCCTTCTTGCTCGTACCGTTGTCGCGTATATCTGTAGATCTGATTCAACAAGCAATGAGCTCTGTCCACGTAGATGCGCAAATGGCCAATGTCCGTCAAATCGGCGCTTGCCGGAGGCATCTCAGATAACCAAATCATCCTCGCCACAGAAAAGTATAACAGCGATGACAGGTACTGGACTCAGCCCTGAGAGGGAGTAGTGCTCCTCAATCTGATTGAGCTCGTTGAAGCAGAACCACCTATCCGCGGCGTCGCCGCTGCCAGCTCCTTCCTCGTCCACGTGCTTCGAAGCGGCCTTCCCCCAAGTGTCCCAGAAATCATCGCCCTTTTTGGTGAACGATGCCACGCTGGAAGGGTGCGGTAGCGCTTCCAGTCGACCTCCGTTGGCCTTCATTTTGCCACCAGCGCCTTTTCGTAAGGAGACGTTAGGAAACAATCCTGCACAAAGGGCTGCGCTGAGCAGTGCTGCGTCGCAGCCCCTGTCCTGCGTCGGCGACCAGATTCCCCGCTGCACGAGCTCGCTTCGCATCTTGCCACGCGTCTGCTGCAGCACGAACATCTGCTTGAATGATAGACAGTGTGCGTCGCAGAATTCCCGCGCAGCGTCTCCACCACGTGCGCGTGCGTCCTCAAAGAGCTCGCAGGCCCGCAGGAGGGCAATATGGTCCGAAGCATGGGGTCCACACAGCTCGCGCTTTGCAGCCCGCACGGCTTTGTTTGCATCCGCCAGGGAGGTAGCTAGCTGGGCGTCGTTGAGGCTAACAAACGGCTCTCGGTACTGCAGCGCGCTGACGACGGACAGTGCGCCATCGCCGACGCCGAGTATCTTGGCCCAGATGACAATTTTGGCGAATTGCGCAGACAAAGGCAACATGCACAGATGCACTCCAAGCGCCGTCAGTTCAACTGGCTTGTCGGCCGAGCTAGTGAGAGCGCCGATCTCCTGAAGCAGCAGCTCGGCATTACGAACACTCCGCTCGTCTGGAGGGTCTGGCACCTGCCCCAAGTAATGTGCGATAGGGACTTCTGGGCGACCCGTGAGAGTAAGCAACAACTTCGCGTGCAAACACACGTCATCCAGAGCCGTTCGCAGCATCTCAGGTGGCCTGTGGGCGTCCATCACCTCTGCACGCCTCTTCGAGAAGATGTGATAGCAAACCCCAGGGGCAACCCGACCAGCTCGGCCGACTCTCTGCGCCACCTGCGCCCGCGATATCCACGACGTGTTCAGCATCGGCACCCTCATGAACGAATCATACGAGGTCTCCTTCGCGCGCCCGCAGTCAATGACGAACTCGATGTCGTCCACCGTGATCGATGTCTCCGCGATGTTTGTGCTCAGGATGACTTTGCGAACACCCGGCGGCGGCCTCTTGAAGACCTCCCTCTGCTGCTCGAGGCGGACCTGTTCGGTGGCAACTCATGGGAGCCTCCCATACCATCTTGTCGGCTTTGGCGAATCGACGCTAGTCGACGCTAAATCTACGCTAACTCGACGCTAACTCGACGCTAATCGACGCTGGCCGACGCTAAATCGGTGCTATCTCATTGACTCCCAGACGCTAATCGACGCTGGTCGACGCTAAAGACGGAATTGCGAGGGTACACAAGGCTCCCATGTTTTGCTACCGAAGACCTGGCTGTGCAGTGGGAGGACCCAGAAGCGGCTCGCGTCGCCGAGCACCGGGTGCTTGCGGAAGCGCCGCTTCAGGCGGTCGATGTCGTCCCAGCCTGGTAGGAAGACGAGCACGCCACCGGCGCCGCGTTTGCCCTCGGCCGCGTCACCCTGCAGTCCCTCGCGCCCAGACGACAAGTGCAGCAACAGCGCTTCGACGATAGTGGAAGAAGAAAGAGCGCCATAAACATAAACTTTTGGCGCTCCGCGCGAATTTTTTGGATCCGCGCTGGGCCTCCCTCCCTGGCGCGCGGAGCGCGCCAGGGGCGGCGCCAGAGGCGCCGCCGGGGGGGGGCCCAGCGCGGGTCCAAGAATGTCGCGCGGAGCGTCAAACCTTTATGTTTATGGCGTTTTTTCCTTCTTCGAGATCGGCAGGTCGTACAGGACGCCCTTAGTCTGCTGAAGCACGTCGTGGAGGAACAGGCCCTCTTCTAATCGGCTCCCGCTGAGCGCCTTCTTGGAGTTCCCAGAGAAGCCGCAGAGGCCGTCGCGGTCGTGGGTGTGACTCACCAGTACTTGGTACTTGAACGTCTTCTCCTTCCCCCTGTCATCCCAACTGCCAAAGCCGAGACCTCCAGCAGCAAAGCCAGGTCCGAGCGCCTGCGCTGCGCCACTCCCGTGCAAGGTCGGCGCAATGTCCTCCAGAAAGTACTCTTTGACTGGGAACATGCGCCCCTCTATGTGGACCTCGGCGCAACCTGGTGCGAATAATGTTGATGCACATTTGTCTTCAACACGTGGGTGATCAAAAACCTCAGTTCGCACATCCAGAATCCCTAAGACGCGGATCGGAGTGAGATGCTTGCTCTTTTCGCCAACTTCAGTTCAAGACAGAAGCGCGCGACTGGAGCCGATCGTGAAAATATAATACTAATCCCCTGCAGCTGCAGATAAGAGTGAGGGGGCGGAGGGGCTGGGGCGACCAATGGTGTTCTCCGAAACTGCAAACGACAGCCCGCCGCAATCGCTGATTTCGATGTTGAAGGCAATGTGGGATCATCCCGCCGAATGCGCAAGTTGGTTGAAGTAACGTCGTGGGTGGGTCGTGGCGCTGATGGGTTGCGATGCGGGTGGGTTGCAGGTGGGTCCCAGGTGGGTCGCAGGTGGGTCGCGGGTCGGGTGGGTCGCGGGTGCGTCGCGGGTGCGTCGCGGGTTGGGCGCGGGTGAGGCGCGGGTCGGTCGCATGTGGTCGGTGGGCGATGCCGACGACGACAAAAACAAGCGGGCGCATCGAAGGACAATGTAAGACCGCTCGGCCCCCTCACTCTGGCCTGCGCCACCCCGGACCCGGCGCCACCGTGGGCCCGTGGCGAGCGCCGGCCCTCCCCCCACGACGCCTCGGCGCTCCCCAACCAGGCCCCACCGAGCCCCCCTGCCCGGGAGGAGGCACAGAATCCGCCACGTTGCCGTGGGCACTGAAGGGTTAAGATGCTCCAACCTACTTTCGCCTGGACCACCAGCAAGAATTTCGAGCACCAAGACATTACGGAAACTGGAGGGTATTCACGTGTCGGGCCCTGGGAGGCGATACTCGTTCGATACTGTTTCGATACTTGCCTGGGTGCCTAGATGATTTTGGGGATTTGGTCCCCCTCCTCTCCGACCAGTTTATTCTCTTGTGTCCGCATCGCGTCGCACCCCCTCCCGACCACTTTATTCCGCGTCGCGTCGCACCCCCTCTCCGCTTCCGGCCCCCTCCCTCCCCAGCGTTTCCCAGCGGCCC